CCAAAATTGGCGTTTTTTGCATTTATCACACACAAACAAATACGAACGCTAACTTTGGCCAGTTTTTGTTACCAAATGGCTACTAAAAAGACTGGACATACCCCATTTGTAATACCTTGGGTTGTCTACTAAATTAAATGCTATTATGGGTGTAAATTTCATTCCTAGGTTACTATAAAGTCCCAAAGGCAACGTAACCTATCTGGCGAATTTCAATTTCAAATGTAACATGCTATATTTGACCCTGTAACTTCCCAAAACGCCATAAAACCTGTGCATAGGGGGTACTGTAGGGGGTACTGTTTTACACGTGAGACTTTGCTGAATACAAATATGTGTATTTTTTTGCAGTAAAAGCAAACAGTATTATGACATTGACCGTTAAAATGTCATGTAGAACTAAAAAAATAAAAAGAAAAACGTATTTTCTCCCATTTTGTTCATATTAAATTATGTTTCATAGCTAAATATTTGATATTAAATGAAAGCCCTATTTCCCCTGAAAAAAATGATATATGATAAGGGTGGGTGTATTTAATATGAAAGAGGTGAATTACAGTTGGACAGACATGTAGCGCAAATGCCAGGTTTTGTTTACATTTTGTTTCGTTCACAACGTGTACATTTGGCTCAGTCCTTAAGGGGTTACTGAAAAAAAATAAATGGCCAAGCCTTATATTTTACCCTGTAACTTTCATAAACACTATAAAACCAGTACATAGGGGGTACTGTTGTATATGGGAGACTTCACTGAACACAAAAATAAGTGTTTCAAAACAGTAAAATGTATCACAACAATGATATTGTCAGTGAAAGTGCCGCTTGTGTGTGAAAAATGCAAAAAACTTCACTTTTGCTGACAATATCGCTGTGATATATTTTACTGTTTTAAAATACTAATATTTGTGTTCAGCGAATTCTCCTGAGTAAAACAGTACCCCCCCCCCATGTACAGGTTTTAGGGAGTGTTGAAAAATGACAGGGTTAAAAATAGTGCTAGCAAATTAAGTTCTTTGGTCTTTCGGTCTTACGTAAAAATATTAAATATATATGCACATAGAATTTAAATATGTACACATATTTATATATTTGAAGTCTATGTGTATATTTATGAAATTATTTATGTAATCATGTATATGGGTGTATATATATATATATATAATTTCAAAAAAGGTGTTTTATTCCATAAAACAAGATAATCGACATTTCGGTCCATGCAGGGACCTTCTTCAGGATGATGTGACACAAATATAAAATACAAATACCATCAATTATATACCAGTAACAATTATAGCAAAGTGACTTACCCCAGGTGTAGTGCATAGACCCGGCGTACCCTTCTACTCACCACACATGTGTGAAAACAGTATGACCTCACGTTGACCCACGTTTCATACGTGATGAATTGGAAAATGTATTCATACTTACCATCATTTTCTTTTCCTGGCTATTATTCATGGCAACATATACAACATGGGGTAGCTCCGCCCCTTACAGCCGATAGGACATGAAAATACCAAAGGCATTAAAAGGAGGCTCCATTCCTAAGGTCCTCAGTCGCGTCAGTTTCTACAGTAGATACAGAGACATTGATGGTGGGTAGTATATGCTGGAAGATGAATAATAGCCAGGAAAGAAAATTATGGCAAGTATGAATATTTTCCACTTTCTCCGGCTAATCATGGCAGCCAGGGCCTAAGTCTTCTATAGGCAGAACTAGAAGCCATCGGTGCCATATGTGAGGAAGGCCAGCCCCACCGCAGGGCCCTTTGAATGCTGCAGCTGCCTGAGCACTCTATAGGACTCAGGCTGCTGATGCACTGCCTCTCCTCCCTTCCCCTGTGAAGACCCAGCTCCTCTGGTCCATGACCCGCCCGGGTCTGAAAGGAAGTGCACAAGAACAGAAACTCCTGCACCGGACCGAGGGAGCCCGCCATGCTGCCAGGGAGGTGAGGACACAGGGGAGAACACAGGGATGGAGGAAGGGGAGGGAGGGTAAGAAGAACTGGGAGGCATAGAAGGAGGGGGAGAAGAAGAACGGGAGGGGAGAAAGAAAACAGGGAGGGGAGTAAGAAGACAGGAGGGGGAGTAAGAAGGAGGGGAAGGGGAGAAGAAGAAGGGGAGTAAGAAGAAGAGGAGGGGAGAAGAAAAAGAGGGGGAGTAAGAAGAAAATAGGGGGAGGAGGCAGAAAACAGGGGGAGGGAAGTAAGAAGAAGGGGAGGAGGGAAGAAGAAGGGGAGGGGGAGTAAGAAGAAGAGGGGGAGAGTAAGAAGGAGTGGAAGTAAGAAAGAGGAGTAAGAAGAAGAAGAGAAGGGGAGAAGAAGACAAGGAGAGGGGGAGAAGAAGAAAACGGGGAGTAAAAGAGGGAGGGAAGAAAATGGGGCGAAGAAAACAGGGGGAGGGGGAGGCATGAAAACAGGGGAGGGGGAGTAAGAAGAAGAGGAGGGAGGGGAGTAAGAACAAGAGAAGGGGAGGGAGAGTAAGAACAAGAGGAGAGGGGGTAAGAAGAAGAGGTGGAGAGGGAGTAAGAAAAGAGGGGGGAGTAAAAAGAAGAGTGTGGTGGGGGAGTAAAAAGAAGAGGGGGAAGGGGGAGTAAGAAGAAGAGTGGGTAGGGGGAGTAAGAAGAAGAGGGGGAGGGGGAGTAATAAGAACACGGGGGAGTAAGAAGAACACAGGGAGAAGGGTGGGGAGTAAGAAGAACACAGGAGGGGTTGTGAGGGAGAACACAGGGGAGGGAGAGAATAACACAGCAAGAGGGGCAGAAGGGGAGATGAGGAAGACACAGGGAGGGGAGAGGTGTAAAGAACACAGGGGGGAGTGAGAAGAACACGGGGGGAGTGAGAAGAACACGGGGGGAGTCAGAAGAACACAGGGAGGGTAAGGGGTGAGAAGAACACGTGAGAAGGGGAGGTGCGGAGAACACAGGGAGGGTGGGTGGGTGTGAGAAGAGACCGCTAGGGGAGGGTGGGGGGTGAGGAGAGACCACTAAGGGTTAGGGGAGAGCTCTAAGGGACAGAAGGGAGAGCTCTATAGGACAGGGGGCAAGACAGGGAGCTCTTTCACACTACGCACGCACTCACAATGCATCCCTATACATACACAGAAACACACAATGCATCCC